TGTAATCCAAATTTCTGCAAGTGAAGCGGGACACGTTCCCCACTCGCTGCAGGTAGAAGCAGCCGGAAACAAAACATGAAAGAGCATCGACGAAACGGAACATCTGGTAATTTCTGTGCGCTGCAAAAATGTTTTCTGAAGTTTATTTTTTCCTGAACTTTGCATTATTTATGAGGCTTTTTTTTACGTTACAGTTTTGCAACGTCAACATTTTCATAATAATTTATGACTAGCAAAGCACAAAAACAGGTAACAGGTTCTCAAATGTATCAATGACCTCCCTTGACCTTGTTAATAATGATACAGATGGACTGTCTGATACAACAGTTTATTAATAGGAAGTAGTGATGTCATCAGTTATCACAAGGTAGCTGTGATGTCATACCCAATGTATCTATATTGAAAGGGTAGAAAGAGCCATAAAGTTTGGAAAAAAATATGCTTTGGGTGTAAACTAAGGAAAGACCCTTTTTTTGTTCCACCATGATTGTCCCCTGTGTACAAAGCCAGCTCCCTAAAGAAATGGATGACCAGTTTGGCGTGGAGGAACTCAAGTGTTCTGCACAGAGCCCTGACTTCAATCATGCTGAACACTTTTGGGTTGAATTGAATTGAGCCAGGTCTTCTCAACCAACATCTCCATAAAGACATGGAATGACGAGTTTGGTTTGGTGAAACCTAAGTGGCCTTCAGAGCCCTGACCTCAACCCTACTGGACACCTTTGGAATAAACTAGGACCTGAGCCAGGTCTTCTCAACCAACTATTCGATAAAGACATGGAATGACGAGTTTGGTGTATTGAGACTTATGTGGCCTTCAGAGCCCTGACCTCAACCCTACTGAACACCTTTGGAATAAACTAGGACCTGAGCCACGTCTTCTCAACCAACTTTTCCATAAAGACATGGAATGACAAGTTTGGTGTGGTGAAACTTATGTGGCCTTCAGAGCCCTGACCTCAACCCTACTGGACACCTTTGGGATAAATTGGAACAAGCTAGGTCTTCTCAACCAACATCTCCATAAAGACATGGTATGATGAGCTTGGTGTGAGGGAGACTTGACCTCAACCCTACTGGAAACCTTTGGGATAAATTGGAATGAGCTAAGTCTTCTCAATAACATCTCCATAAAGAGATGGTATGAGTTTGGTGTGGAGGAATTTGAGGGCCTTCAGAGACTTGACCTCAACCCTACTGAACACCTTTGGGATGACATGCTGGTAGGTTAATTGGCTCCTGTCTACATTGGCCCCTAGTATGTGTATGTATGAATGTGAGTTAGGGACCTTAGATTGTATGCACCTTGGGGGTTAGGGACTGATGTGAATGTACAATATATATGTAAAGTGCTGCGTAAATTGATGGCGCTCTAGAAGTACATTGAAGGAAATGTGTATTTGCTCCCCCCGGCTGATGTTGAATGTTCGCGCCCTCACAAAGAAATGATCGGTCTAACAATGGAATGTTCGCCCCTCACACAGAAATGATCGGTCTAACAATGGAATGTTCGCCCCTCACACAGGAATGTTCGGTCTAAAAATGGAATGTTCGGTGTAACACTGAGAGACAGAATACAACAACAAATTCAGCAGAAATGCGTCCAACAAATGATGACTGATCTGCATGTTCATGAGGGAAATAAGGATTTGATCCCCTATCATTCAGCAGGATTTCTGGCTCCCAGGTGTCTCTCGTACAGGTAACAAGCTGAGATTAGAAGCAGTCTCTTAAAGGGAGTGCTGCTAATCTCATTTTTTTACCTGTATAAAAGACACCTGTCCACAGGAGCAATCAAACCATCAGATTCCAAACTCTCCACCATGGCAAAGACCAAAGAGCTGTCCAAGGATGTCAGGGACAAGATGGTAGACCTACACAAGGCTGGACTGGGCTACCAAACTATGGCCAAGCAGCTTGGTGAGAAGGTGACAACAGTTGGTGCAATCATTCACAAATGGAAGAAACACAAAACAAGTGTCAGTCTCCCTAGGTCTGGTGCACCATGCAAGATCTCACCTCGTGGGGTGTCAATGATCATGAGAACAGTGAGGAATCATCCCGGAACTACACGGGAGGATCTTGTCGATGATCTCCAGGCAGCTGGGACCACAGTCACCAAGAAAACAATTGGTAACACACTACGCGAAGAAGGACTGAAATCCTGCAGTGCCCGCAAGGTCCCTCTGCTCAAGAAAGCCCATGTCCAGGCCCGCCTGAAGTCTGCCACTGAACATCTGAATGATGCAGAGGAGGACTGGTGGAAAGTGTTGTGGTCAGAGGAGACCAAAATCCAGCTCTTTGGCATCAACTCAACTCGCCGTGTTTGGAGGAGGAGGAATGCTGCCTATGACCCTAAGAACACCATCCCAACTGTGAAACATGGTGGTGGAAACATTCTTCTTTGGGGGTGTTTTTTTGCTAAGGGGACAGGACAACTGCACCGCATCAAAGGGACGATGGACGGGGCAATGTACTGTCAAATCTTGGGTGAGAAACTTCTTCCCTCAGCCAGGGCATTGAAAATGGGTGGTGGATGGGTGTTCCAGCATGACAATGACCCAAAACACACGGCCAAGGCAACAAAGGAGCGGCTCAAGAAGAAGCACATTGAGATCCTGGAGTGGCCTAGCCAGTCTCCAGACCTTAATGTGACTGAAAATCTGTGGAGGAGCTGAAAGTTCGAGTTGCCAAACGTCAGCCACCAAACCTTAATGACTTGGAGAGGATCTGCCAAGAGGAGTGGGCCAAAATCCCTCCTGAGATGTGTGCGAACCTGGGGGCCAACTCCAGGAAACGTCTGACCTCTGTTATGGCCAACAAGGGATTTGCCACCAAGTACTAAGTCATGTTTTGTGAAGGGGATCAAATCCTTCTTTCCCTCATGAACATGCAGATCAGTCATCATTTGTTAGACGCATTTCTGCTGAATTTGTTGTTGTATTCTGTCTCTCAATGTTACACCGAACATTCCATTGTTAGACCGATCATTTCTGTGTGAGGGGCGAACATTCCATTGTTAGACCGATCATTTCTGTGTGAGGGGCGAACATTCCATTGTTAGACCGATCATTTCTGTGTGAGGGACGAACATTCCATTGTTAGACCGATCATTTCTGTGTGAGGGGCGAACGTTCAAAATCAGCCGGGGAGCAAATACACATTTCCTCCACTGTACCTGTAGTAAATAAAAATGACTGGATTAATAGTTATTAACACCTTCACGCCGGTGCCTCCCGGCCCTTTAAGGGTTTCAGAAGCCGGGAGGCGGGGTTTATGTTGACCCTTACCTCCCATTTCCTGTTGATGGGAGGAAATGGGAGGTAGGGGTCAGTGGGGATGTTGGGAGGGGATGGGGGGTCAGTGGGGATGCTGGGAGGGGATGGGGGGGTCAGTGGGGATGCTGGGAGGGGATGGGGGGGGTCAGTGGGGATGCTGGGAGGGGATGGGGGGGGCCAGTGGGGATGCTGGGAGGGGATGGGGGGGGGCCAGTGGGGATGTTGGGAGGGGATGGGGGGGGGGTCAGTGGGGATGTTGGGAGGGGATGGGGGGGGGTCATTGGGGATGTTGGGAGGGGGGGGGGGGGGTCAGTGGGGGTGTTGGGAGAAAATGACGAGCGTTGCAATTTTGTCACACAGTTTATTGGAAAAAATTAAACATTACTGAATTTTAGTGAACACAAAACACAGTATAATACTTCATTTTTTTTTGTAAAATATAAAAAGATGATGAATAAATAGATACCAAACATGTCATGTTAAAAAAAAAAAAACATAAATAATTATGTTAAAAAAAAAATTAAGTCAAAATTTAAAAACATTTTTTTTTAAATTATAAATTTTTGGTTATAAACTAGTTTGGGTTTTTTTTTTTTACTAAAAAGATAGCTAAATACATTTTGGCCAAAATTTATGAAGAAAGATTACTTATTTTCAAAAACACTTTTTTTTCCAAAATGTTTGGACTTTTTCATTTATATAGCAAAAAAATAAAAATCCCAGCGGTGAATAAATACCACCAAAATAAAGTTTTATCTGTCTTAAAAAAATGCTAAAAAAAATTCATATGGGTACAGTGTTGCATTACTATTATTATTATACAGGATTTATGGCGCCAACAGTTTGCTCAGCGCTTTACAATATAACGGGAGACAATACAGCAACAATACAGCAACAATACAAGAGGGATGGGAGGGTCCTGATCCTGGGAGCTTATGATCTAGGAGGGAGGGGCTAGTGGTACAAAAGGTAGTAACTGTGGGGGGTGGACTGGTAGGAGGAATAGAAGATTCCATTATTAGCTGAGGGCAGGATAGGCTTCCCTGAAGAGATCGGTTTTCAGAGATCGCCTAAAAGTGAGCAGAGTAGGCGATAGTCTGATAGATTGGGGTAGAGAGTTCCAGAGGATGGTGGAAGCTCTGGAGAAGTCCTGGAGATGAGCATGGGAGGAGGAGACAAGGCATGACCGCGTAATTGTCATTCGAAGTGTGATAGCGCTGAAAGCTGAAAATTGAGGTGGACAGGAAGGGAGTGACAGTGTCCGGACTTGAAGTGGTTAAGTATGACAGACACAGATAACAAATGTAATAATATTAGAAAATAGAATACGAACGCTTAACTAAAGATGCCTTTTCACCACGGAGCCACGCCCACTTGCACGGCGTGGCACAGATGATCAGATCAGACGCACGCGTAATGCAGCTCTGAGACGCGACTGAATATTCCGAGTTTTAGCTGTAGTTTATACAGGACAATTTGGTTGGATTTGACCAATCGTAAAAAAAAACTATTACCTTCTAAGGAAGATCAAACATTCCTGAAAGGAAATTAGTGGGCTGGCTCGTCCATATAGTCAGTTTACAATGACATTCCCATAGCATGGAGTCATCTAAGGTAACTAGACTTTGGAGGCTTCCTTTCTTAGATATTGTGAGACGACTTTATTAAGAAAATATGAAATTCCCCCCATCAAGCATGTAACACCAAACGGGAATCACTCACCAGCTCGATCCAGGAGTTGACGCTGACGGTGACATCATCAACCGATTCCACGTAATGCCACCAATGACGAGGGACAAATAACACCTGAAGGAAAGAAGAGGACACAGCGTGGATGAGAAGATTTACACGGGAAAGGAGTATTCTGAGACATTCTGCACTGATATTCTGATTTTTAATGTGACGGTCATATTGCTGTTCCATATTTACAAGACTATATTAAACACTATTAGTGGCTTGTTGTCATTAAAGCTGTAGTCCGGTCAGCCAGCTTAGTACAGAAGTAGACATACTTTGTGTGTGTGTGTGTGTGTATATACAGTGGGGATGGAAAGTTTGGGCACCCCAGCTAAAAATGTGTATTAATGTGCATAAAGAAGCCAAGGAAAGATGGAAAAAATCTCCAAAAGGCATCAAATTACAGATTAGACATTCTTATAATATGTCAACAAAAGTTAGATTTTATTTCCATCATTTACACTTTCAAAATAACAAAAACAAAAAAATGGCGTCTGCAAAAGTTTGGGCCCCCTGCAGAGTTGATATCTTGTACTGCCCCCTTTGGCAAGTATCACGGCTTGTAAACGCTTTTTGTAGCCAGCCAAGAGTCTTTCAGTTCTTGTTTGAGGTATCTTTGCCCATTCTTCCTTACAAAAGTCTTCCAGTTCTTTGAGATTTCTGGGCTGTCTGTCGCACGGCTCTTTTAAGGTCTATCCATAGATTTTCAATGATGTTGAGGTCAGGAGATTGTGAAGGCCATGGCAAAACCTTCAGTTTACGCCTCTTGATGTAATCCCCCCGTGGATTTCGAGGTGTGTTTAGGATCATTATCCATTTGTAGAAGCCATCCTCTCTTTAACTTCAGCTTTTTCACAGATGGCATCAAAGTGTAAATGATGGAAATAAAATCTAACTTTTGTTGACATATTATAAGAATGTCTAATCTGTAATTTGATGCCTTTTGGAGATTTTTCCATCTTTCCTTGGCTTCTTTATGCACATTAATACAAATTTTTAGCTGGGGTGCCCAAACTTTCCATCCCCACTATATATATATATATATATATATATATATATATATATATATATATATATATACTATATAACTCTAATATGTTAAGTAATAATCGCTAAATAAACAAATATAAAATAAAATAAAATTATTGATAATTAGAAAACAAAAAATTATTATCAAAATTATAAGTCACTCGTGTCCAAAATAAAGTCACTCCGATCTTTGTTTCCAAAAATGCAAAAAATCGTTTGGTATCGAGCCCTCCCAATGGCTCCCAAAAGGAAAGTATGTACGGTACCTCAAAAAAAGAGAAAACTCATACAGCGCATTAACTTAAATTCAATATCATACCCATATTACCATATGCACTGTGCAACTTCAAAAAATGTGATAATTAAAGTGAAAAATGTGAACACCGTGTAAAAAACCGTGATAGTGAGTAAAGTAATCCAAGTGACCATTCAGTGTACACTTCTATAGTGTAAGGCAGGCCATAGATGGGTTGAAAATCTACTGATTTTTCGTCCATAAAAAAAAAAAAAAAAATCGGCCGATTTTTCCACTATTAATGGGTTAATTGGTCGGCCGTTTTTCTGGATTTTGCCACATTTTTTTATCGGTAAAGTTGGAAAAAAAAAAAAGGCCAATTTTCCCGGCAATGATGGGCAAATCGGACGATCTTTTTACCGATAAAAAATCTGCACATGAGCCGTGACCTGCAAGAAGAAAGAAGAAGAGGAAGAAGAGGAGGAAGAAGAGGAAGATGAAATAGAAGAAGAGGAAGAAGAAGAGGAAGGAGAGGAAGAATAAGAGGAGGAAGAGGAAGAAGAGGAACAGGAAGAAGGAGGAAGAGGAAGAGGAGGAAGAAGAAAGAAGAAGAAAGAAGAAGAAAAAGAAGAAAGAAGAAGAAAGAATTCCAGTCCGCGATTATACTTGACATGAAAAAGTATTGCGGTTGCAACAATGTATCTATTTGTATCCGAATAAAACATCTGTATCTGAAATGGATACAAATAGATACATTGTTGTAACCACAAGACTTTTTAATGTCAAATATAATAGCGGAGCTCTCTTCAGGGCACAAAAGTAATTAAATGCCGGCCGTAGACGGGACGATTTTTTTTACCGTTGGTGGCAACGTCGGCCTATTGAACGACCGATTTTTTTTTTTTTTTTTTTGTTAAAAAAACGGACGGTTTTCGACCCATCTATGGCCTGCATAAGGCAAAATACCCTTACCAAAAAAACAAACAAAAAACGCCTTATCAATACTGCGGAGATAAGCAACACGCTCCCACATATATATATATGAGAGTTGTTTTACCAGCTGGAGGGTTTCTATGATGTTTTAGCCAGTTTTGTCACCCAAGAAGCCCTGCAAGACATCACAGCCAGATCATGGATTGCTCACTCTGCTCTCTTCTCCTGTCAGTTATCGGTCAGGGCACATGCCAGACATAGAGTTAGAGGTTAAGTTGATGGGTTTGGGATTGACCATAAACATACAGTTTGCTGGCCATAGACGGGGTGAAAATCGGCCGATTTTTGCACCGTTAGTGGGTTTTGTTATTTGGTCAGTCGTTTTTTGGGGTTTTGGCACATTTTTTTTTATCGGTCAAGTTGGAAAATTCGATTTTCCAGGAAATGATGGGCAAATTGGCCGATCGTTTTACCGATAAAAAATGTGCACATGAGCCGTGAAGAAAAAGAAGAAAAAGAAAGAAGATAAAGAAGAATTCCAGTCCGCTATTATATTTTGTATGAAAAGTCTTGCGGTTGCAACAAATGTATCCATTTGTATCCGAATAAAAACATCTGTAGCCAAAATGGATACAAATGGATACATTGTTGCAACCGCAAGACTTTTCATACAAAATATAATAGCGGACTGGAATTCTTAGGGACAGAAGTAATTATGGGGTTCAATGCCGGCCATAGACGGGACGAAAATCGGCCGATTTTTTTTTACTGTTGGTGGTAACGTCGGCCAATCGAACTACTGATTTTTTGTTTGTTTTTTTTAAAAATGGCCGGTTTTCAACCCATCTATGGCCTGCTTTAGAGGGTAGGCTGATGGGTGTGGTTTGGGATTGACTGTAGACACAGAGCTAGGGGTTAGGCTGATGGGTGTGGTCTGGGATTGATCTTCGTCATTGAGTTAAGAGTTAGGTTAATGGGTGTGGTTTGGGATTGACCATAGACAGAGGTAGGGGGTAGGCTGATGGGTATGATCTTGAATTTACCCTAGACACAAAGCTAGGGGTTAGGTTGATGGGTGTGGTCTGGGATTGACCTTAGACACAGAGTTAGGGGTTAGGCTGATGGGTGTGGTTTAGGATTGATTTTAGTCATGGAGTTAAGCGTCAGGTTAATGGATGTGGTTTGGGATTGACCATATAGACAGAGTTAGGGGTTAGGTTGATAGGTGTGGTCTGGGATTTACCTTAGACACAGAGTTAAGGAGTAGGTTGATGGGTATAGTTTGATTGGTGTGGTCCGGAATTGACCTTAGACATAGAGTTAGGGGTAGGTTAATGGGTGTGGTTTGGGATTGACCATAGACAGAGTTAGGGGGTAGGCTGATGGGCATGGTCTTGAATTGACCCTAGACACAGAGTTAGGGGTTAGCCTGATGGGTGTGGTTTAGGATTGATTTTAGTCATGGAGTTAAGAGTCAGGTTAATGGATGTGGTTTGGGATTGACCATATAGACAGAGTTAAGGGTTAGGTTGATAGGTGTGGTCTGGGATTTACCTTAGACACAGAGTTAAGGAGTAGGTTGATGGGTATATAGGTTTGATTGGTGTGTGGTCTGGAATTGACCTTAGACATAGAGTTAGGGGTAGTTTAATGGTGTGGTTTGGGATTGACCATAGACAGAGTTAGGGGGTAGGCTGATGGGCATGGTCTTGAATTGACCCTAGACACAGAGCTAGGGGTTAGGCTGATGGGTGTGGTTTAGGATTGATATTAGTCATTGAGTTAAGAGTTAGGTTAATGGGTGTGGCTTGGGATTGACCATAGACAGAGGTAGGGGGTAGGTTGATGGGTGTGGCTTGAGACTGACTTTAGACACGGAGTTAGGGGTTAGGGTTGATGGATGTGGTTTGGGATTGACCATAGATAAAGTTAGTTGGTAGGTTGATGGGTGTGGTTTGAGACTGACCATATAGACATAGAGTTAGGGGTTAGATTAGTGGGTGTGGTCTGGGATTGACTTTTGACACAGAGTTAGGGAGTAGGTTGATGGGTGTGGTTTGATTGGTGTGGTCTGGGATTGACCTTAGACAGAGTTAGGGGTACGTTAATGGGTGTGGTTTGGGATTGACCATAGACAGAATAAGGTGATAGGTTGATGGGTGTGGTTTGAGATTGACCATATAGACAGAGTTAAGGGTTAGGTTGATAGGTGTGGTCTGGGATTGACCTTAGACACAGAGTTAAGGAGTAGGTTGATGGGTATGGCTTGGGAGTGACCTTAGACATAGAGTTAAGGGTTAGGTTGATGGGTGTGGTCTGGGATTGACCTTAGACATAGAGTTAAGGGTTAGGCTGATGGGTATGGCTTGATTGGGGTGGCCTGGGATTGACCTTAGACATAGAGTTAGGGGTAGGTTAATGGGTGTGGTTTGGGATTGACCATAGACAGAGTAAGGTGGTAGGTTGATGGGTGTGGTTTGAGATTGACTTCAGACAGAGAGTTAGGGGTTAGGTTGATGGGTATGGCTTGGGTGACCTTAGACATAGAGTTAAGGGTTAGGTTGATGGGTGTGGTTTGAGATTGACTTTAGACAGAGAGTCAGGAGTTAGGTTGATGGGTGTGGTTTGAGACTGACCATATAGACATAGAGTTAGGGGTTAGATTAGTGGGTGTGGTCTGGGATTGACTTTTGACACAGAGTTAGGGAGTAGGTTGATGGGTGTGGTTTGATTGGTGTGGTCTGGGATTGACCTTAGACAGAGTTAGGGGTAGGTTAATGGGTGTGGTTTGGGATTGACCATAGACAGAATAAGGTGATAGGTTGATGGGTGTGGTTTGAGATTGACCATATAGACATAGAGTTAAGGGTTA